TCTACCTCTCTTTATGTGTGCTTATATATTTCCTGTGAAGGGATTCTTTTCTGTAGAAACGCCCTTGCGAGCGCTTGCCAATTTCTTTTTCATTGATTACTTCTTTACATTTTTATTATTATTGTTTTTCATGTCTAACTCTGCCGCCGGGTTTTATTACGGGAAAAGAAAAAGGCTCAGACGGATGGAGACCCCTATGGTGGTGCTGCTTTTTGTTGTTTGCGCCCAATAGGCCAATAAAAAAAGAAGATTCGGCTATTGCGCCAAGGTGCTGATTGAGGTACTGTTTCGTGCGGTTGTTTTTTGCGGTGGTGATGGGGGAGGTGATTGGGGAAACACTGGGCACGAAATGTGACTTGAAATCCTGAACCGCGTTTTCAGAATGTCTGGATGGCTGTCGCCCCGAGCTACAACAATGCCCTGCATTGAAGAACAGTTATTTTATATTTTTGTGCCTGCGACGTCTTTATGCTGAACTGATGTTTCTTTTATTATTCGCGGGTGTCGATAGGAAGGTTTAAAACATGTTTGTTGTTTTCGGGCATGTAGGATGGCTGGTGACTGTGCTTTTTTTTTTTTGGGAGTTTACATGAGAGGAATGGGGATTGAGCGGTGCGGGATGTGTGGTGGGTGCCGCAGGCTTGTTGGACCGCGATTTGGGTGCCCTCCAAAATTCATTACATTTTGGGCTCCTCAACGAACACTTCTATTCTTTATGGAATCATGTGGTGTTACAAATGGCACCCTGGACTGTTGTGTTCCGCCATCCTTTTTTTTTTTTTTCACGGGATGTATGAGAGCTTTGCATGCTGCGGCAAGAACTGCATTTGTTACTGTGCCATTGGTCTCTTTTTTCCTTTTGTTTTCATTCTTAGCCATTTTTACTTTTGTTGTTATTTTATTTCTGGTCATGTTGGGACTCCTGCGTGCTCCGTGCCTCCACTTCACTCACCAAATGAAGGTGCATGACCATTGCTTGGGAAGGAATCTTTTTTTTTACACATTGACACGGAGCCATTCCTGCGCACCTTCTTTTTCTTTTTTACTTTTTTTTTGCTTTCTTTAAGGAGATGCTCCCTTGGCTTTGCCTCCAACGGGATATGCGCGGAGTTACACGCGCCTTAAACACCGAAGCCACGAGCCTTTTTTGAAAAGGGTGCTTTATTTTTCTTCTAATTTTAATTTGTTGTCCATGTTGATGTTTTTTTTTTGAGTGGAGTTCCTACTTGGTGACGATCCCACGTATGGTTTGGTGCTGATCCGACCAGGGCGGACTATATCCACTGCGTCGGGGAAAGGCTTCTGGTGGATCCAACGACACGGTGGCTGGGGGAAACAATAACGGGACGGACGTTATCCCGTTGATGGTGGTCCCGCTGATGCTCGATCTGATGGACTTTCGGAGGATGATGTGCAACATCAATGTGCCCATCCGGCTGTTGGTTTTGGTGCAGAACGGGCGGGAGGCGATGCTGTCGTTGTGCCTGCAGGAACTCGAGAGGGTCTATGGGTGGTCCGGACGCCTGGTTGTGAGTCGTCACCCGGAAAACGTCGGGTACAGCGCTGCCGCGAACATCGGGTCACGACTTGCACTCTCGCTGCCACGCGAGGAAGTGCCTTTTGTTTTTGTGACAGACGGCGACGTAATGTTTTCACCCGATCTTCTTCCCAACCTTCTACGCAATGTGCATGAAATGACGAGGCATGATGCCGCTCGCATGGATGAGTTGGCGGCGGAAGTGGCGAATGGGCCGAGCGAGTCCAGTCCTGTTTTGCGGCGGGGCTTGGGGGTGCTGCGCTCCACGGTGAACGATGACCGATTGTCGACGTCTGCGCTGCTGCCTGACCGCATCCGTTATGCTTCTGTGAAGGAGCGTGAAAAGGCGTTTTCGAAGCATTACGGGCACTTCTGCGCGTATTACAAAAGCAGTTGTTTTACATCTGTTTTGTTGACACGCCTGGCGATAAGCACGGTGGGATATTTTGACGAGAACCTCTACCCAGCTTGCGTGGAGGATGTCGACTACGGCCTGCATCTCCGTTTGCTTGGATTTCAGGAGCGAAATGTCTTATGCGGCAAATTTGTGCATCGTGGCAGCTCGAGTATTCGTTTCTCTAGTGAAATGGAGGCACCGGACGCTCTCTGGTACCGTCGCGTCAAGTCTTTGAGTGCGAACAAACCATATGCCATGATGAAGTGGAACCGTCCACGGGCGTGCAGTGGCGGGTGCAAGGAGCCATATGACGGCATGGTCCCCCGCAGACGTTTGGGTGAAGGATGAGGCACGCATACAGCGCATTCGGGCCTACGGGCATGATGAGATCCGAAGAGTTCCAAGTATTGACTACGACAGGAGGCTTTTGTACCCTGTGAGGAATAAAGGAAGATGATTCGGCAACAAACACAAGTTTTGCTTTCTTATTTTGTTTTGCCTTAATTTTTAAAAACTTACACTTCTGTTTGGTTATTTACACGATTAATATTTAAGCGAGTACGCCATGGGTTTTAAGGAGCGCAAAAACATATGTTTGGCATGACGGGGGGGGGGGGGGAGGGTGCAGCGTCCAAACCTGGCCGTGTAGCCGAAGGCAGGAGAAGGAAGTAGCAAGCAGGAAACATGATGATGATGGATGAGGGAGAAATAAAAGGGGAGGGAAGCAGAAAACAAGTCAAAAATGTAGTGAGCACAACGCTGTTTCTTATCGTGGGCGATCGACACCGCCATTGGCCACTAATTTACCCACTGAAGGCGACACCCGTTTCCGCTGGATATGCTGCGTGCATATCTGTCGGGCTCTTTGTTTGTTCTGTTGTTTTGTTTGTTTCCCGCACATTTATTTCTCCGTGCCGCCTGACCCACTCGTTTATTATTTCCCTCCCTGTTTTGTGCGTGCACCGAGAGAAGGGCTGAGGGACATGAAGTACGCTCCCATTCTGTGAGATGCCACCAAAAACAGGAGGAGAAAAAAAAGAAAAGTGAAGCGGGGAGGGGAACCATCGCCACGCGTCCTTTTCTCCGAGAAGGCTGCTCGCCACGCCGCTGAGGCGCGCCGTGTGCTTCACAAGGCCCGCTGGACTCGATTGGGGTGCCGTGAGTGACGGTGCGTGTGAGTGTGACTGATGCGTCCCCCAGGCGTCGCTAGAGGGCCCTCTGGCCATTGGGACTGCGCGGAATGCGGGATTCCGCGGGGATATTTGCACGTTTTGTTTTTATTTTTTTATCCACCCCTCCCAAGCCTCAACACGGCGGCTGAGCCAACGACTGCGACGGGATCCGTTGCGTATTTCCGGATCTTTTTGCGTTGCAGCGGCAGGCCTGGTGTGTCCTGCTCGGCAGACGCGGTGGACGGAAGTGGGCTGCGTTATTGGGAAAACGATGGTCACGGCGGAGTGTGTTGCGTACGTCGCAATTTGGCGTGTTTGTGGCGATCCTTGCGGATGGTGTGACGGCGCCTCTTTTACTTGCGGGGAGAGAAGCGATGCTCCACGGTGGTGCACACGTTGCGTCTGGAGGTTTCTCTTGCTGTTGGTTTGTGAATGTTTATTTTTTGCTTTTGCCGGAACACCACAGAGGGCGGTGTCTGCGGACAGCAGAGCATTGCGAGGAGGGGCACCGCACGATTTTTAGCTTGACGAGGCGGCTTCTGTGACTTTACGGTGTTTTATTTTCAGGGTTGAGAGGCTACCCTTTGCTGGAATGTATTGTGGGAGACCATCCGCGTGTTTGTTTTTCTTGATTAATCCCTTGGCACTTGGTGTCTGCCGTGAAACAGATGTTGATGGCCTTTTTATGGCGGCGAGATGATAATGAATCGGTCTCTCAGAAAAGCAACAAGAGGACGTTTGCTCCTCCTGCTGCGGTGTACGAGTGGACTCTACAATTCGTGGATGGGGTTGCTCTGCCTGTCGTATTTCTTTGAATTCCATGGGTTTTTTACATCGCCATCCACACGCACATGCACGCAATCCCCCTGTTTGCCCTCCTGTGGGCGGGAGACCGGGATGCAAGGGGAAAATGTGGCTTGTGCCAGCATGTGGTAAAGTCTTTCTTGGGAGGGATTGCGACTGTGATTTACGTCCTGGCAGGCAGGAATGGGATGGGAGGGGAGCGGAGGGGCGAGTAACAACGATCGTGTGCGGGGCAATGCGCAGTGAATAGGGCGAAGTGGTATTTATGTTGACTTTTCAAAACATTTTTTTCTTTTTCTTGCGTGGCAATGGAAAGGAAATTTGGGTGGTGTGTTGTGGATTATTTGCAAATAATTCATCGCGGCAACGCCATTTGCGGAGAAAATGGATGGCATCTGCGTGAGGCTTGTTTTTTGAGCGCGAGATGGTCGGGGAGGCGCTCAACGCTCCGAGAGACCAGGAGCAAAGAGGCCTGCACTGCTGCAAGCAGAGGGATGCACGCTCCTGTTGGTGTTGTTGCTGTGGAGCCCTGAATGGCCTGCAGGGAATTTGTTTTTCCCGCCTCATTATTTTATGGTTTGGTGCTTGCCGCGAACTTTTGAGGTGGGACGTGGGATGCACCGAGAGAGCGTGTGTCGTGTGGTGGTGCTGCGAATTGATGCCGCCCACGTTTGTGCACATAATTCCGTTTGTGTCCGCGTCGTTGCCGCGGCGGTGCACCGGGAGCGTGTGACTGATCACTGTATCACTTGCAGACTGTTTTGGCAGGACTCTGAATGGCATCGCCGAATAATGAAATTCCGCGTCCATGTCTCTCTCTCTCTGTTTGTGTTTTGGCTTCCGCCGTGTTTCGTCGTGTTGTTGTTGTTGTTGCTGTTTTCTGTGTTCTCTCGAGTCCTGCACTTTGCGTGGGCGCTCTGCTCTGCTCTCCACTGACGTGTCTGATGTACTGCCGCTGTTGTTTTCTTTCCACTTCTTGCACACAGACACGCTAGGAAAGCAAGCAAACAAACGCGAATCGCTACTGTGAAATTCGAAGGCTCTGAAAGGACCAACAGCACACACAGACAGCCGACACAAACATATTTATATGCTCTCACGCGTTGCTGCTGTCATGGCACCCCGCACACACAACCGTCGCCGCGTGACCGGATCCAGCGGAAGGAGGAGGGGAGGAGGAGAGAGTGAGCCGCCGAGGCCCAACATGTCCCGGCGTGTGTTTGCTTCCGCAGTGCTGCTCCTCCTCGTCGTGATGATGTGCGCCGCCGTGGGTCCTGTGCAGGCCCAAAACCGTGGAAAGAGAGTGGGCGATTCCTATGGAGGACACAGTTCGGAGTCGTTGTCAAGGGAGCATCGAGCCGCAAACCCAGCGGTCCCTGGCCACATTTTCCGCAATCCCCATCTTGTGAATGTGGACGGGATGCTTATGGCCATTGTTGGAGCTCAGTTCAATGGATCTGTGGGGAGCGGGAGTGCGTCCATGCAGTTGATGGCGCAGCTCAGCTTGGATCGTGGGGTGAATTGGAGTCCGTACTCGAGACCTGGAGATGTTGACGCTTTTGCTGCACGCCTTCACCAGATGTTGTTTACCACGCCTTTCAGACTCTTCGGACCGCTTTTTGCATTTGTGGAGGGCTACGACTTACGGAACGGAGTCAGACCTCATTATCCCGATGAGCGGGGAGGAAGTGGTGTGGAGTCTGTTATCCATTTTCTGGAGACGGGGCCTGGACGAAGCGGAGGTTTTTCGATGAGTTCCGTCTCTATGAGCATTCGCCCTCCTTATCCCTATAAATCCGACGGATTGATTGGCTTCCTCAACGATGCCAGTACTCCCATCACGAAAATGACGGATGGCACGCTCGTGTTTCCCGTGCAGTTTCTGACAATGGGAGGGAGCACTGCGTCCACAATCATGTACTGGAATTCCGGTCAACAGCACTGGACCTTTGCGAACAGCGCGACACATGCGGGCTGCACCAACCCCATTATCCTTGAATGGGAGGCTGGGAAAATTATCATGATCACCTCATGTGAGTCCGATCGCAGAAGAGTGTACGAGTCGACTGACAAGGGGAACACGTGGACGGAGGCTCTGGGGACGCTCTCGCGCGTGTGGAGCAACTCATTGGCAGGTCTTGGGCTCCACATTCAGAGTGGATTCATCACTGCAACGATTGGCGGAAAGAAGGTGATCCTCCTCACCCAGCTGGAATATTCCAGACACGACAGCAAGGGCGAGATTCGTCTGTGGCTAACGGACGCGAACCGCATTTACAACGTTGGCCTGTTAGCCACTGGGTATGGCGCGACCTCCAGCTCTCTGTTGTACGCGGATGATAGGCTGTATTGTTTGTACGAGGCCAGTGGTGGAAGCGACTCTGGAGCCTTCTTCCTGGATCTGACGTCTGAGCTGCAGAGGATAAGGCATGCGCTGGATACTTGGGCCGCGAAGGACAATGCCTTGGGAAAATGCAGCTCAATTGCCTCAGACGCCGCGCTGTCAAGATGGGGCTGTTCTGTTCCTTTCCCCACGGCTGGGCTTGTGGGCCATTTGGCAGACAGGTTCAGCGGGCACAAGTGGGAGGACGAGTACCTTGGGGTGAATGCCGTTGTGAGGGGTGCGACGAAAAAGGTTCCCAGTGGGTTGACGTTCGAAGGGCAAGGCGCGGGGGCCGAGTGGCCTGTGGACAAGCAGTGGCCGACCAGACCACTCCACTTTGCAAACTATGGGTTTACTCTTGCGGCAACGGTGTCGATCCACGAGGTGCCGAAGGGCATCACTCCCCTGATGGGCCTGAAGAGAATGGGGACGACAACACTCCTGGGACTGTCGTACGATAAGAATATGGAGTGGAGAGTGGTGAATGACTTGTTCCCGAAGCATTTTACCGCATGGGAGGTGGACAAGACGTATCACGTGGTGCTCAAAATGCATGACGGTGTGGGCTCCGTGTACGTTGACGGGACTCTCCTTTGGAATATGAGGCTGAAAAATTCGTTCAATGAAGGGCTGGGCACGGTCTCACACTTTTACTTTGGCGCGTACGACGAGCAGCTGAGCAGCGGAAAGATCCATGCGACGGTGGCGAACGTCTTTCTGTACAACCGCCCGTTGAATGAAACTGAGATTGGTGCCCTCAACGCGAGTAAAGTCACCATTCCACCTCCGGAAAGGAAGCCGGTGCCGGCGGCGGCAGCTACCTCTTCGTCCGTTGAACCTGCCAACGAGAGGGTGACCACAAATACGCAGCCAACTGTGCCATCGCCTGCTACTGCCGGACCACAGCAGACGGACCAAACAACTTTGAACGCGAGCAGTGTTCCGAGTGGTGGCGCTCCATCCAAACCAGCGGAGCCGAAATCAGCAGAGCCTGAACCAGCGGAGCCGAAATCAGCAGGGCCCAAACCAGCGGAGCCGAAATCAGCAGAGCCCAAACCAGCGGAGCCGAAATCAGCAGAGCCCAAACCAGCGGAGCCGAAATCAGCAGGGCCCAAACCAGCGGAGCCGAAATCAGCAGAGCCCAAACCAGCTGAGCCGAAATCTGCAGAGCCCAAACCAGCTGAGCCGAAATCAGCAGAGCCTGAACCAGCGGAGCCGAAATCAGCAGAGCCCAAACCAGCTGAGCCGAAATCAGCAGAGCCCAAACCAGCTGAGCCGAAATCTGCAGAGCCCAAACCAGCTGAGCCGAAATCAGCAGAGCCTGAACCAGCGGAGCCGAAATCAGCAGAGCCCAAACCAGCTGAGCCGAAATCAGCAGAGCCTGAACCAGCTGAGCCGAAATCAGCAGAGCCCAAACCAGCGGAGCCGAAATCTGCAGAGCCCAAACCAGCTGAGCCGAAATCAGCAGAGCCCAAACCAGCTGAGCCGAAATCAGCAGGGCCCAAACCAGCGGAGCCGAAATCTGCAGAGCCCAAACCAGCTGAGCCGAAATCAGCAGAGCCCAAACCAGCTGAGCCGAAATCAGCAGAGCCCAAACCAGCTGAGCCGAAATCAGCAGAGCCCAAACCAGCTGAGCCGAAATCTGCAGAGCCCAAACCAGCTGAGCCGAAATCAGCAGAGCCCAAACCAGCGGAGCCGAAATCAGCAGAGCCCAAACCAGCGGAGCCGAAATCAGCAGAGCCCAAACCAGCGGAGCCGAAATCAGCAGAGCCTGAACCAGCGGAGCCGAAATCAGCAGAGCCCAAACCAGCGGAGCCGAAATCTGCAGAGCCCAAACCAGCTGAGCCGAAATCAGCAGGGCCCAAACCAGCGGAGCCGAAATCAGCAGAGCCTGAACCAACGGAGCCGAAATCAGCAGGGCCCAAACCAGCGGAGCCGAAATCAGCAGAGCCTGAACCAGCGGAGCCGAAATCAGCAGAGCCCAAACCAGCTGAGCCGAAATCAGCAGGGCCCAAACCAGCGGAGCCGAAATCAGCAGAGCCCAAACCAGCGGAGCCGAAATCAGCAGAGCCTGAACCAACGAAGCCGAAATCAGCAGGGCCCAAACCAGCGGAGCCGAAATCAGCAGGGCCCAAACCAGCGGAGCCGAAATCAGCAGAGCCCAAACCAGCGGAGCCGAAATCAGCAGAGCCCAAACCAGCGGAGCCGAAATCAGCAGAGCCCAAACCAGCGGAGCCGAAATCAGCAGGGCCCAAACCAGCGGAGCCGAAATCAGCAGAGCCTGAACCAGCTGAGCCGAAATCAGCAGAGCCTGAACCAACGGAGCCGAAATCAGCAGAGCCTGAACCAACGGAGCCGAAATCAGCAGAGCCCAAACCAGCGGAGCCGTACTCAGCAGAGCCTGAACCAACGGAGCCGAAATCAGCAGAGCCCAAACCAGCGGAGCCGAAATCAGCAGAGCCTGAACCAGCTGAGCCGAAATCAGCAGAGCCTGAACCAGCGGAGCCGAAATCAGCAGAGCCCAAACCAGCGGAGCCGAAATCAGCAGAGCCTGAACCAACGGAGCCGAAATCAGCAGGGCCCAAACCAGCGGAGCCGTACTCAGCAGAGCCCAAACCAGCGGAGCCGAAATCAGCAGAGCCTGAACCAACGGAGCCGAAATCAGCAGAGCCTGAACCAACGGAGCCGAAATCAGCAGGGCCCAAACCAGCGGAGCCGTACTCAGCAGAGCCCAAACCAGCGGAGCCGAAATCAGCAGAGCTCAATGCCACGACCCCCTCAGCAAGGGAGGGTGCTGCAGACCAGTCGGCATCTGTTACATCTTCAGGCGCCTCCAGTACTGATGTTGGTGCTTCCTCATCTGATGATGCACAAACGGTGGGGATGGAAGGTGGAGATATGATGCAGGCAGATCAACCAGTCCAATTCTCTGTGGGCACCCCCGACGCAGCAAATGCAGCAACACATAACGCTGAAGGCAAGGGACAAGATGGGCTCCATCCACAGGTCAAGGAAGCAGAGGCGGCGACACTCAGCAGCAGCCTTTAAAGTTCGTTGCAGTGGGATAACAGCGTTGCTGGTACTATGCGTGAGAGCGGATTGCTGCCGCTGCTTCTTCTGCTGGGGCTGTGGGGGTTTGCGGCTGCGTGAGGAGAGACCGGCTGCCGTGTGGAACACTTGCGCCCTTCCCTGCACCGACACACGCACCGCTAGGAATAAAATTTTACTACGCAGTGAATAACAATTTCTTTTTCCATTTGGTGCTTCCCTTCTTTTTTTTTTTTTCTGCAACCATCATGGACGTTCTTTTTTTCTTCTTTTCCCTCTTTAATTGTTTTTCGCTGCACTCTTCCTGTGAGGGGTGCCGTGTGTTTCCCGCCCAACTGCTCCACTCGCACACCCACCGACACGCTCATGACGACGGCCCTGTGCGCCTCGCCTGCTGCACGCATGAGGAGGGGCCGCGACGAACGGCGCGCTGAGGGAGCCGTGACGTGTGGGCGTACGGCGAGGGCCTGTGGGGCGGGGCACACATTTCTTCCCTCTTGTTTTGTTTTCTTTGCGGCCAGGGCGGGCAGAAACCCGCAGCGCCACGCACACAGCCACACCCTGCCGCCGTTTTTTTAGGATTTTTTTTTGCTTTGCGTGTGCATTTCACGCGCTGGCAGTCCCTTCGCTGGCGTTCCCGTCAGCATTTCTCCCTCCTGATGATTTTTTATTTTGCTGCGCTCACTCTCCCGATGGAGAGACGCGACTCCTGTCGTGTCTGCGTGCTTCTCTCAGCCTTCACACACGAGTGACTGTGCTCTGCGGGCCGCACTCACGCGCCGATGAGAGGGCTGAGGGGAGCGGCAACACGCAGATGACCGCACGAAATATAAACGATGTGCGGACACGCAGAGGGTCAGACGGTTGAAAGACATGTAACTATTTAATTTTCTTTTTCGCGCAAAATATACAGACATTTTGGTGTGGCCACACGGTAACCAGGTGATTTTTTTTTTTAGGAGTAACAGTAATGGAGGACGACTTCTTTCCTGCGTTTTTTCTTCTTATTTAATTACTTTGTGCGGGGCTGGGAGGATAATGGTGAAAGGGGAAGTTTCTTTTTTTTTTTTTTGGTAATTGTTTTAAATAAATCTTGTATGACACGCCACTGCTTGGGCTGCGGTGCAATCGTGAGTTTGAGCAGTCTTGTTATTTCTACGTTGCGGCTCTGCTGTACATTTTGTTTTGCGTTTCTTCACATGCTCCGTTTCTTTTTTTTACTTCTTTACCTCGTGTTTCTGCAGGCACGCAGAAGCACACGCACACATAGTGCAAATCACGGTGGATTCGGATGGTTCTTTTGCGGTGCGTGTGGCAGCAGCGTGTGGGTGCCGCTTTTTTCCGTGGGCATGAAGCGAAGGGAGAGGGAGGGAGCGCGCAGGGCGAGTGTCTCTTCCTGATGGTGTGGGGGCGCTGCGTTGTGACCGCATGGAGCGAGGCGCCGCGTCGTGGGTGGATGAGGAATCGCTTCTGCGTGTGGCTCTTTGGGTGATTGCTTGCTCCGTGTGCGCTGTGTCTGTTGGCTGCGGGGCTGTGGCTGTATCCCGTTGGCCGTGGGACTGAACTGGAGGCGGTGGCGGTGTGTCACTTCTCTTCCCCGTCCATTGTGTGTGACTGCTGGCGGTGTGCGCGTTTGTTTTGTGGAGGGCCGAATCCTCTCACCCGCGGACTGACAGCGCTGCGATGGTTCCCTCACGGAGTTATTGGCGTGGCCACGGGGCTGACGGCATCGACCAGCGCCCTGACCGGCCGCGTCCTGCTGGGAGACAGTCGTAACACCATGAGGTCTGAAGAGCACGTGTTACCGCAATGCCGACCATCGGATTTATTTTATAAAACACGAGGAAAAACAGAATGTGGGAGAGGAGTTTGGCGGCGTTGTCGTCCGAGAGGGCACCTTCAATACCACGAAGCCTTCAAGCCCTGCCATAACCGTCGCGCGTGTGGTGCGGCAACACATTCCACTGCGTGCCACGCAGGAGAGCACGTCATCTGTGGAAGTGTGATACCCCTCCACTTTTTTTTTTTTTTAGGAGCTTGTGAGGAGAATGATCACAGAGGAAAGCTGACTGCCTCAATTAATTTTAAATTCTGATAATAACGAATTCACTTCTTTACAATAATTTTTTCTTTTTTATGAACGTGGGAAGAACACAACTTTAGGGGGAACAGAGAGCAGAAAGCGAATAGGCAAATTATTTTTATTTTTATTTTGCCATCCCACCCAACCCCTTTTGATTCCCACCACGCGGCGGGGTCTTGTGCTCGGAGGACCCCAAAAGTCTGCCGCGTCGTACGTAATTATCCTTCAGCTTCTAACCGAGGACAAAAGACCATGCGAACGGTCAATCGAATTTATTGATTGGACAAAAAGAAAACATTGAGGCAATTAACGACCTCTGCGGCAACCCCACTTTTTTTTCCCCTACCTTTTTTTGGTTTCTAAAAGAAATTTCAGGATTCGGCCAGCGGCACAGAAGATTATCCAGTCTTTTATTTCT